TTGTTGTTGGTCTTTGGGGTTTGTTTTTTTTTTTCTTTCCCCCCCCCCGCACTTTTTGTTATTAGTTCCTCGTGCTTCTGTTGTGGTTTCTGGTTTTCTATCTTCACGGGGTTTCCCAGCAGAAAGTCACTTCCTTTGGTTACACAGAGCCAAAGAAGAAGCTTCCTGAGAAGCCCTGCTGACACGGACAACTGGACCAATATATTGGATCAAGTTGTAAAGTGGGGGCTTTAGATGTGGGTTTTCCATTGAAGAGCTGGTCTGCTCACTTACGCAACTTCAACCTTCATGCTGCACTTCCCTTTTTAGGCCCCAGAAGGGTTAATTACATGTTTAAACCTAATCTCTGCAATGATTTATCCAAATATCTGAGTTTATGACTGTAATTATTCAATGGTTCTTAGTAAAATATGTTACAGATGTAAAACTAGCCATGCAAATGCGTCTTTTCAGGTTGGATCATAAGTTATTAAAGCAAAAAGACATTAAAATTCAAACATACCAGTGGTTTCATTTATATCTTTTATATTAAGATAATCATATGTAACTCTGGAATAGTCTAAAAGCAATCTTCTTAAGAACTAGCAAGACATTTTTTATTTGCACCTTTAAAGTCCACAAAATTATTAACTCTAAAAGGATTAAAGCATTTTAAAAGCAAAATATTTAAAGCAATATCAAAATTAAAAAACATGACTCTGAGATGGGAATCACCAACTGATATGCAAAGGTATGATATGCAAAGGTATGATATGCAAAGGTATGAAACCAAAGGTAGGCAAAACAGTTGGATTGAGATAATCTTTCATTTTAGGCTTAAAATTCAATTCATAAAACATTTTCAGTATCTTTTTTCTTCCTTAAGAACTGAAAAAAGCTTCATACATAACATATTTGGAGATAACGGTTGGACAATGCTCTTCTAAAAAAATGTTGCCCTTTAAGTAACTTTAAAGAGCTCTTGCAAGGGTTAAAATGCAAAAAAATGCCACAAACGTAATGTAATGCTTTATAAGATAGCCAAAGAATTAAAACAAATCAGGAAGTCAGAGAAGAATGTGCAACATTAGTGCTGGCGCAGCAAGTTTCCTCTTACTGTACTGAAAGTAAGGCTAGGATCAGCTATGAGCCAGAACCTCTGTTTGTACAAATCAGCAATGATCCTTTGGCTTTGGTGGCTCTGCATCAATTTCCACCAGCTAAGGAACCAATACTGTAACTCCAACAATAACAATAAACGATTATATTTTGCATTGCAGAAAGTTTGCCATTTGTAGAATGATTTGTAAGGCAAGCAAAGAGTTTAGACTTATGATATAGCCACATCTTCTGGTATTTGAACAAATTATAATGTTTGTTGTCTCCCAACCAAAATGGAATAATGAGACCCAGTTTCATCTGCTTTTGTGATAGGATGCCGTAACTGTGGTTTTGGTTTCTATGTTCCCTTTCAGGTTTGTTTTTGTTTTTGTGGTTTTGTTTGTCTGGTTGGTTGGTTTTGTTTTTGTTTTGTTTTGGGGTTTCTTTTTTTTTTTTCTTTCCCTGTATGTATTCTACACTAAATTAGCTGACCAAAATCATGGTAAACAATAGTATTTAGGTTGGTACTAAGCAGAATTTATTTCCTTATTGTGATTGGTGTTTTGTTTTGTTCTGTTCTGTTTTGGTTTTGTTTGTTTGTTTTTAAGGAGAGTTTTCATTGCATTCAGGGGCTGGGAATGTGAATTCAGGCATTTTCTGAGCCCACTTATTTGAAGTTCAGATTACAGACTGATTCACTGTGAAATAGTCAAGCCTGGATTAACACTGCACTCCTCAAGTAAGAAAGCTCTCTGTGTGTTGATCCATGTTCCTCCTGTGCAGAGAAAATGCTGCATCCTTGCTTCAAGAAACTTCCAAGTTTCTTCTGAATGTTGAATGGAGCAGACCAGAAGCAGCACAATGGCAGAGATCTGAAAGTTCGCTGTCAACATGGTTAGACTCAGGAGGTGAGCACAGGCATGTGATCTCTCAATCCTTACATTTCCAGGGAGACAGCATCTGTGACTATGTAATTATTGTGAATTACACCCATGAGGATTCATGACAAAGATTGTTACATTGCTGCATGGCCAGAAGAGGGGTAGCAAAGGAGTCTGCCAAGGGCCAGAACAAATATGTAAGCACAGAAGCTCTCTGTGGCTGTCACATTCAGCAGTTCCTGATTTCTGGAGATTGTTGAGCTGGTAGGCAATGTTTTGTGTATGGGCATGTGACTCCCTGTGACAGAATCATTTTTACAACCGGTTGTTTGTTTTGGTTATTTTTTTCTATGAAATACCTTCAATCGTGTGGTCTATCTGTGCTATTTGGGCAGTTACAAATTGCCTGACATTCAAAAAAGTCTGAGAAATCTATAAATGCTTTGTGAGAAAACTTGCATTTTCAAGTTTTACATTCCTTTAAGAGAGGAGAGGCTGGTTTACACTTTGCGTTTGAGCAATGCCTCATGCAAGAGTATTTATGCTTTCTCAAGCCCTTCGACAAGTGCTGTACTTGATTATGTAGTTCTTCTTTTATTCAAAGAGGTGAAAATGCTTTTTCTGTACCATTACTATGAACTAGCCTTGACTGCCAAACAAGGATGAAAGAAAGTTCTGAAAATTAAACAATCATTCTGTTGCTGGAAGTTTATTTTTAAAACATGGAGGAAGGAGAAGAGCTTAAGTTGTGTTTTCTAACTGATACCAGTTAATTTTGATATGAGGCACATCAATTTTTTTAGACATTAAAATGTGATTACTAAGTTCTCTTTCTCAGGCTTGTATCTGGAATTCATCTTCTCATCCAATGCCAAAATCAAAGCAGGCTTTCTTCTGTAATAACATTTCTTGGTAGAGACGAACAGGCTGCCTGCCTTGACTGTACTGTGATTTGTTGAGGAATGAGCAGTAGTGTTAGCTGACACTCAGCCCTGAGCTGTACCTTACTCTGTCACTTCCGAGCACTTACAGGCCTCACAGAAAGGTAGCCTAAGCCCTTGCTCTGAGCTTTTGATGGGCCAAAAATGCAGTGTACAAATGGGTTACAGAATTTAAAACTACCCTATGAGACAGTGGTTTTTGCTCTTTTTTTTTTCTTTTTTTTCTGTGTGTTTGTCCTACATATGGCACCTTTCCATCTCTTCTTAAAAAAACCTTTTCCTGGCCTGCATTATGGTGTAGCCTGTTATGTGAAAAGAGGATGTTCTGACTGAGCAATTTGAGTTAGGAAGACTGATTGTTTTAATGATGTTAAAAACATTAGCTTTAATTTCTCGACCTTCACCCTCTTTTACTACTGGGGCGTGTTGGCCTCAGCCAGCACCACACATGTACACAGGTGCTTGCATACTCTGGGAATTTGACTTAACTTATTGCCATAATATATTTCATTGCTGATTTGGGTATTGGGAAGCAAAGAAGACAAACATTAAAACAACTTTCCTTCCCCTTTCCCAGGCTCAGTTGCACTCCAAACACATTTCCTCACCTCTTGTTATCTACGCAGGTTGCACTCAGTCCCTTTGATGAAACAATGAGTGGCACAGAGGGTTGAGGTCAGGATGTAGTGGTGTCTCTCTGCTTCTCCTTGCTTCTCACCCTTTTCTTCCACTTTTGCTTCCTTCTTACTCATTTTCTCTGCTCCAGCGTGGTCTGTCTGTGGGCCACAGTCTGTTTTGGGGTGTGCCTGCTCAGTCATGGAGCACTTCCAACACATCTGACTGTGTTGTTTCCTCATTCCCTTGTTTCTATCGTTTTTGCCTTGTTCCCTCTTTGTCCCCTGTGATGTTCCCTCCCAGGTTTGTCTCCTCCCCTTTAGCATTTTCTGCTCTTTCCTCAGTATAGTTTCACAGAGTCACAGTGCACATGGCTAATGGGCTCTGCTTTGGAACATGCTGGGTCCATTGGCTTCTGGAATTGGCTGTGACCAGAATGGGACAGCCCTGATCTCCTCCACAAGAGCCACCCTGCAGTTTCATGACCAGGATGAGTGGAGAGCACAGGAAGCCAGAACAGTAACTGTCCAGCTTTAGGTAGACATGTAGAAGTAGGCAGGTCAGGTAGCATCATCCAAGAGCCTATTAAGACATCATTTATCGGGAAGGAACCCAGGAGGGATCTTGAAACTCATTCATAATTTGAATCCAATATACACTCCTACTTAAGGAAAGAACTGAACCATTAAATCTATGTTTTTCTGTGAATAAAAGTTAAGTTAACTGTGTGTGGAAAGGAAGTTAACTGTATAATTGTATTTTGGACTGAAATCCAGTGCTGAGTCAATTTGATGTTTTAAGAGCACAGTCGCCAGTTAATTTTCCTGTATAAGCTCAAGTCACATTAGAGAAGTGCTACAAAATGGAACTTGTAATTAAAAAAAAACAAACAACAACATACATTTATTAATGTATTTCACTAACAAAAATGAAAAAGAAAAAGAAAAAGAAAGGCAGCTTGCATCTGAAGCCAGCAGAAATGTTCAAAGCTAACATTTTTGGACTTGATGATCTTAAAGGTCTTTTCCAACCTAGTTGATTTTATGTTCCTATGGTTTGCTTCAGATTGCTTCCACTTAGCATTCATCGGCAGGCTAGTTCTTGACTATAGTTCTTGGTTGAGGAAATGTAGATAAATCTTATAAGATGTAATTACTATTTTACACCAGTTTCATGGCAAATGCTGAGGAAATTTTGTAAAAAGCACCTCTGAAGGACTTGGCTGCAAAGAGGTATGGTACAGGATAGATTATGTGAGCAGTCAGAAGTTTTGTACTGCTGAGTTCTCATCCTGTAGGGTGCAACATCATGGCTTGTAGCTTTTCAAGAAACGTGGCAAATCAGCAATTGCTCTTTTCTGAAACTGTACTGAATGCTTTAATTAATGCTTTAAAGCTGGACCTAGGTTACAAACACAAACTTTGAAACAGGGTTCTGAAATTCCCTCAACTCTATTTTGAGATCTAGTTTTGTCCAATTCTTACACTGATCTGAGCAGGTTCACATAAAACCTCAAAGTCCACTACAGCCTATATGGGACAGAGGAGGGATGTAGGGTTTTTGCCTTAGGCATAACATACATGTGAGAGATTTGTTAGGATGTGTCATAGCCAAAAGGAATCTCTCCCACTGCTTAGAATCTGCATGTTTTGGACAACAGTTAAACTATTTATTTTGTATCAGTATAAATCACCCTTTATTTGGTGCAGAATGAAGGGCCATGCTAGCAGTTTACTATACCTTTACTCTCAAAAAATTCCCTAGCCAAAACACTTCCCTAAAATCAGCTATTTAATGCAGCCCCTTTGCCAGTCCATTGCTATGGGAACTCAGTCTTTCATTTATTTACAAAACCAGCCATATTCTTGTCTTGTGTGTGGAGCTGAAATTCTAGGTAAGTGTCCAGACTTTTTCAAACTTGCTAAAGTTGTGACCTTTACTTTTTTTTTTGGTATGAATCTGGCTTTTTAAATGGCATGACCATTCAAGAGTACTTTGCCAATACTTGAATATTTTAGGCTTTGAAAGGCATCAACACTGACTGTAGGTGTTCTGTCAAGGTGAGCAAGTATCAGTTTGGAGCTTGAGTTAAAAGTAGTTTAAGGAAAATTAATTACTTAAAATTAGGAGGAAACTAAGAGAGGATCTTTACAAAGGAAATGTCTTTAATTTCTGTGGCTCTATACCCAAAGAATCTGTGTCCACCTTTGCAGCTAGAGGATTAATGCAGCCCATTCTAGTTTTACAACAAAATTAAATCAATTTATCAAATACTTGCTGCACTGAAGTCGAAGACAAGAATCCCATCTACTTCAGTGAGGTCAGTTTACTGGATCACCCAGATTTCAACATTTTGAAATGGTTGGTTATCAACATTTACAAAAAATTTTTTGAATTTTGACAATACTTTATAACAGAGACATAATTACTAGGTTAGAATATTCATAGTTAGTCTTGGATAAAATTATTCCTCATTTATATTTATGTATGTTGTCTCTCCTTTGTATTTTGAAACATCACACAGAGACCAATCTTGCATTTGCTGAAATCACTGCCAAAATATGCAGTATTTAATTAGTGAAATACTGATTATTGTATTTAGAATTTTGAGACAATAATGTAAAAGATAACAGGATAAAACCTGTAAGGCAACAGAACTTGATTATTCTAATCTGTAAAAAATAAATAAAAGGATACTAAGAAATGAGTTTCTGAGTAATGTTGTATACTGTATCCATGTTAAACTGACTGAGAATGTATCTATTTTCACTGTTCATTAAATAATCAACCTTGCTTGTGGAACCCACAATTAGCCTGAGACTTTATGTATATTCATAAACCATCATATGCTAATCTGCATTATAAAAGAAAACTAAGCTTGTTTTAACTGTATCTGCAAACCAAAGGGACAAACATGCTTAATTCAGGTCAGTATTTTCTTTGGGAATTTATTAGTTGTGTTGACTAGAGTTGAATGGCATCAGTAACAAATTTTCACTTTGTATTGTCTTTAAAAATGTGCTTATAATGATGTGGATTGTAATCTAAAAGTTACAATATTAATGAAACTGGAAACTTTAATAATGAAAAACATTCTGAATTAAAAACATTTTGGAAGTATTTAATTTCATTAAAATACCACTTTTTAATCCTAAATTGCTTTTATCTGTGTTATTAAATACTTTTATGTAATAATTGGAAATAATGCAAATATTTAATATCATTTTAATTTATACTAAAATAATGATTATTTTGGTACATAAGATTTTTTAAAATGTTGTTTATTTAACAGGATTCCAGTTTTGATATCTAAAAGATGGTAAGTCTGCAATGCCTTTATTCTCTTTCATTATTGAGTGCTTCAAACATGATATAGAAAACTTAGTCAAACTCAGATTCGGGGGGGGGAGTGTTAACTGTTTAGAACAAGATGTTCTAAAATTATGATAAACAATTTTCTGAGAATCCACACTTGCTTTCCTATACTATCATAGTATAGCATTTTATCTGCATAACCACTTCATAACTTGTGCATAACAATTTTTGTCATGTCAGTTTTATTGAATGGCAACTTTGGCTGCATAAATCATGTTACACAAGTGATAGATACCTCTGAATTATATACTATAAAACAGTCCAACAGCAGTAACACCCTGTGTAAACTTCTGCTGCAAATTAAGGAAATGAACCTTGAAACATTTGTACAAGTGATGTTACCCATGTGAGTTGTCCCACTGACCTCAAAGAGACTTCTTAAAGGATTGAGAACTTTCTCATAATATTAAATGATTATGGTAATGCCTCAGTGCCTGCAGAATACATATTCCAGGAGGATGTATATTCCATATAATCACTGTATTTATTTGGGATTTTCTGACTGACAATGTTGAAAGGACTGGCCTGTTCTTTTCAGACTTCTGACAGAAAAATGTTCTTGCAGAGTTTTCCTGATCAAGACGTACTGGGCCAGGCTTTCGAAGATGCACTAGAAGTCCTGCAGCAGCATTCTGACAGAGAAATGCAGTATTCACCAGGTAAAAAAAGACCATTATTCCATTTCATTTACCGCTTTGTATTTTTACAAGAAAATACATCTTGAAGTACATAGGTGGGTGAAGAATTTCCCAGAGGTAAACTAATGGACAACAGAGGGATATGCTGGGAGGATGGAAAGGGGGAAGAATATCTGAACAGTTTCCACCCCTCCATTAGTACAGGTCAGTGTGGTGTGCATCATCCATGTCACAGAACAGGGGGAGTGTTGCATAGTTCCTCTCTACCTTCCCGTCAGTACTAGCTGAGGTGCATTGGGCTCTTTTTTTCCTGTAATCAGAGGATATATGACCATAGTGCATCAGCTATTTTCCATTATTAATGTTGTAACTGAAAAATGCCCATCTGTTATACTGTGAATAAACTCATATAACAGTGAAATCTAGTGGGGAAAAGGGGAGAAAGACCAAGAATCCAACAAGTGAAATTAGTTTTCACAATTATTTTTTTAACATTTAAATAGAAATTTTAAATGTTTTTATGCAGAAATGATAGTTTTACTCTGGCTAATCAATAGAAAAAGCATTTTTTCCTGGCTTCAAGAGTTTTATACTTTACAAAACTTCAAACACAAGCAAGGTGCAAATTGTTGCAGTTGAGGCAAGGTTTTGGCAATTAAATGATTACAAAATTTTAAATCTGTGTTTTGTGTTATTGCATTGTAAATAGAAATAAAAGCAAAGGAAAACAGAAGCTAAGCCACAAGTCATCTAAGTTCAGAATAAAATATTTACTGTCTTTTGAGTGGAATGCGTTCCACGTGAGGGTTTGTTTACATATTATCTATTACATACTGAAATGCAAATAAGACCAATTGGACTATGTCTTCAGATGTTCTTAATACATTTTTGGCTTTGCTGCACTGGTAATTTACACATGGTGAAGGACCCACTATATATTATTATTTACAATGTTCTTGCCTGTGTCTGTTGTGTGGGCCAAAGGAGAGAGGTATTAAAACACTTGCAACTGTGTGTTTAGGATGTCCCACAGCTGCACCCATGTTTCCACTTGCAATATAGGTACCCACCCTAATCTTCTTCTGACCACCCACAGTATGTAGTTGATTCCAAGTGCCTCAGTCTGGTGTTCTCCTCTGCTTCTTTTAAACATCCTAAGATCTTGGGTTCCTCCTGTGTCATTCTTTCAGGCACTGCAGATCCTCTGATGCTCCTTCACTTCATTCACAACTGGAGACTCTGACTTGAATTGTACAAATGGCCTGCAGAGCTGTGTAACTTTCCCTTTTTCTTTCTAATACACACATTATAGTAGTCTGTAATTATCCCGTTTCATTCATTATGTTTGGCCCTCCTTTTTCCATTAACCAGACTATTTCATGACACTATAAATTATCTGAGATTTTATCTTATGAAATATTGCTTTTTGTGAAAGCAAACAAAACCAGCCCAAGGGTGTGATTAGCAGTAACAGTACAGATTCTGTTGGATAACCTGCTGCTAGGGAACATCTTGGCTCTGGAGACTTTATTTTCTAGGAGGCAGCCATAAGATAAATGCTTTTTGACAGACCCAGTAGCATGTTAGATTATTTGCCCCTGTTTCCCCCCCCCCCCCCCTTGTCTTCCTTTTACTCACTCAATTTTTGCCCCATCCTCATAATTCTTAGGTTATAAAAGTTGCCTGACTGTGATCAACCATCACCACCACCTCCGAGCAAGTCCCAGCTACTCTGCGGCACCATCTACAGAGGAGCAAGGTTATAGCTGGAGAAATGTGATTGTAAGTGAAATGGTTACTGGTAAGAGTCAGACATACATGGAGAATTGACTGCCCATTTGAGATTTCTAATACAGATAATTATGCTAGTTCGAAGAGAAACTTGGTGAGGCCCGGCATGATTCAGATAAAATTGCCTTGGGAAATGTTTGCAAAGCATACATAGTCACTTTTTAGAAGTAATCTTAGTAATCAGAGTCCACTGTTCCTCTTCTGCTCCCAGCAGAAGGGTTGAAGGTCCAGAGTGAGGCAATTACTCTCTTTTCCCTCTTAAATTCTCTGATGGTTGGCAGTCCTTCCCACTGGGCATAAATTAGTGCTGCTTGTTACTGGTACAGTACACTACATGCTTTTGTGGCTGAGAAAAGTCTTCCATTGGTGAGGTGAAGAAAGGTTGTATTTTGAAGGCTTCAGGCAATTAATAGCTATGATTTTCTTTTTACTCAGAGAATGTTTCATCTTAGTAACTCATTGTTGTCTTCATTCTTGAAGAACAGTGCAGCGGATTTTTATGCAGATGAGACTGTCTACCATATGCTGCAGAATACTCCAGAAAGCCAAGTGATGCATGCTGCCGCGGGCCAACCAAAAGCAGGGAAAGGTGTGTAGAAAGAGCATGTCTTGATACGTACATTATGTTACTTCAAAAAAATCTCTTGTCAAATCATGCTTTCTTTTTTCCTCTTTTTTTTTTTTATATATATATTTAACAGGAAAAGATAGGTTAACATTTAATATTAGCTAGAATACAACTGCTAGTGTTCAATTCCAATCTGTTAAATCTCATAAGATAAATCTGTTACTGTGTTGTTCTGTCCTCTCATTTAGTACATGGAAATACAAACCAGAAATGTGTTTTACTCCAAATCATCTGGAATGAACTCTGATGCAAAGAAGTAAATCAATAACATCTTTAATGACTTATTTTATATTATGCGGTTCAACAAGTAGTGGTTCTCCTGAAGGTTTTTCATAAACAAAAATAATTTTTCACCTAATTTTGTGCCTTTCTTTGTTTACTTTTCAAATTGCATCTTAGCTTTTGTCACCTCCAGTATGCATTTTTATAGCTATTTTGTGCTCCTTTTACTTGACTTTACTTGAGTGGATATCTGTTTTGCAAATAGGTTGGGTAACATTTGTCATTACAATGCTATGTTTGTTTATTGAATTCATCTGGTTTTTTTTTGTTTGGGACTCAGCATCTTTCTATGACTTTGCTAGATGAGATTTCCGTAGCTTCCACTCTGAGTTTTTGTACTGACTTTTGACCGTGGAGTCTTTTAGCAGCTTCCTGGTTTAGCTGCTTTTTGAAATCCCCTTCTTTCAACTTTAACCACATGGTGTCAGGTTTTGGTATCATCTCTTCCCATTCATGCTGAACACTGTGGTTTCTGTTAATAGCTACTACTACTACAAAAAATTTTGTGTGATGATGGGAAGAGTAGCCCCTCCTTTTAAGTTCTGTGCTTTTAGTACTTGAAATTCACCATTGCAAATGAACATCTTTCAATCCAGAAATGTTGTTTATCTAGGTGTCATGCAGTGTTGCACTAGGGAATTTTACATGTCAGCATCTGAATTCACCTTCAGTTATTACTTCATTTCCTATTTCCTATTTCTTTTATGTTATTATCACTTTTCTTTACCAGAAGGCCATACTGGATGAATTTTCAAAATGACTGACTACTCTTATGGAGTATTTTGTGTCCTCTTACGGGTTTCTTTGTGTCCATAGCGATATTTCTGCCAAAAACTCATTTGGGAGACTGTTTCCACTATACCTAAAAAAATTTAGTCCTCTTGGCTTCTTATTGTGACATGAGAGGTTTCCCATACACTAGCAAATAGTGTTGGCCTTTCAGAATAGATCTGTAGATGAAATAATCACCACTGATGACCCAAAGTCTATGTTCAAAGTGTTTCACAAGGGTTCATTTAGAGCAATATCTATGCTGGCCACACATTCTGAAATCTGCAGTGGCTTAGGTATGCTTCAGTTTTCATCTTCAAGGAGTCCAGTTCACATATATTAAGACCATTCCCTGATCTGAATGAAAGCTCGGTGAGTGGAGACAATCAAGAGAGGTACTCCAGAAATACATCTGAATGAGACATACACAGAGAATTAGATTTCTTTGGGACAATTCAGCACAGAAATCTAATGCAGGTGCTCTGGAACACCTGCTAGAGGAACCTGCCTATCTCCGATAACCACATAAGAAACCTTCAGACACTGTCTTGCTAGCTTAGACTCATGTTTAGTACCTGGTAATGAACACCACTAGCTTATCCAATGGGGTGCTGTACAAAGATCTGTGAACTAACCCCAGCTCAGACTGGTGCATCCACATTGTGTAGCTCTTTGGAGGTATCAGCTGGACTCTAGAAACATAGTTGCATTAACACATAAGAGCAAATAAGCCATCTCAAACCAAGACATGAGGTAGAGATGATGTATCTAAAAATAAAAGCTTGGGCAGAAATGACAGCTAAACTAAGCACAAAATCAGGTGTTGCTGCAGACATGACTATACTATCATTTTCCAGCAGAGACTCAGTTTGCAATAATCTGCACATTTTCCCCTGAACTCATTTATTCTATGGTAGATTCATTGGTTTGTAGTATAATTCAGCTTGGAGGGGACCTAAGGAGGTTACTTACTAAGAAGTGGTTAGTGTGAGTGGGTAGTGTCCAGTTTTTGGCAATGCAACATGTATTTCTGGTAGATTGTGTACTTCTAGTCACACACTGATTTTTATTTAGATAATGAAACTTTATTAATTTTTGGAAAGTACCTCTGATTTCAGGCTCTTCTTCTTCCCAGTTTGACTGTCACTTCTCCCCTCTTTCCTTACCACCAGATGCAGAATTACTGTCATCCCTAGCAGATGTCTTGGCTTGACCTCCGTGTTCCTTAGCAACTGTCACTTTTCCCTCAGTCCTAGTTTAAAATAGCCACTCAAGGCAAGACTTCATGAACTTTAGGTGCAGCTGCTTGTTTCCACTTTGGTTAAAGTGGAAGCCGTTCTTCTGCATAGAGTCTCCTTTCTGCAGAGTGTTCCTCTTTGTCTCACAATCTTAAATTCTTCCTCCTTACAACAGCTTCTTGTTCACCCTTGGCTTTGTGAAGGGAACTGGAAGTAGTTCAGAGAAAGACCTAAGTGAAACTAAGTAAACCTCACAAGTAAACTTATGTTTGAGAGCTGAGCTTGTCGGGAGAAGCACACAATTAACTAACAAATACTGCAGTATAGAGCTTGCTTTATTCTGCATGGGAATGCAAGTTGACACTTCTCCACATTTTTAGAAAACTGCAAGGTACCAGAAAGTACCTCAATAAATAGGTCCTTATTGACTACGTGAGGTTTATGGTTCAAAACTAGCTTGCTCTTTTTGCTTACCCGCTCACCTTTTCTTATATCAGAGACTACCTAGCAGCCTCAAAACATTCCTGAAACAAACCTCACAAAATTGAATAATCTCAACATCTGTGAGTTTTAGTTAAGCAAAGGGAAAACATTTATTCAAAACCATTCAGGTTAGCTCTCCATAACCACTTTGTTGCACTTTCTGAGGATGCAATTTCCTAGTGTGAGTTCCTTGATCATGCATCTGCACAACATGTGTCTGAAGACTCATAGAAGGGGCTTGTTTTCATTTGCGACAGGCTGTTAGGTTTACCTGTGCCTTTGCCTATAAGAACATTTCCAGGAAGAAGACAACTGCTCATCTTTTAAAACAAGTATGAGTCCTATTCTGACTTTTGTACTTTTTTTCTTAATAGGTAGAAAAAAACTTCGACTGTTCGAGTACCTCCATGAGTCTCTGTATGATCCAGCTATGGCAAACTGCATCCAATGGGTGGATAAGCCCAATGGCGTCTTCCAGTTTGTCTCCAAAAACAAGGAGAAACTTGCAGAGCTTTGGGGAGAAAGAAAGGGAAACCGCAAGATCATGACATATCAGAAAATGGCAAGAGCACTGAGGAATTATGGAAGAACAGGTGAAATAGTTAAAATTAGAAGGAAGCTGACATACCAGTTCAGTGCTGTTGTTTTAAAGAGACTCGCTCCATCTTATTTCTTGGGCAAAGAAACAGTTTATCATCCATACGTTCAGTCTAATCAAGAATATCAGTGCACAGATGACTGGATGAGTTACAGTAATTACATGTATAACAATGGCTATACATTACAGCATGCTAACAGCTAGACATATCTTTCACATGAGCAGGTCTTTGCTAGCTAGTAATACTTTCCAGCACTGTACATAGCTTTTCCTTTAAGATATCATACAAATGCAAAAAGAGGAGGTTTTTTAAAAATTATATTGGCCTAGTTTTGTTCCTTTTGAAGGTAATAAGAAACGGTCACTGACTGTTGAAGAAAACCAGCAGCTGCAGGGCATGTTCTATTCTTCCTGGCATTAATCAGAGGGATTATTTCAGATTCAAGCTGGTATATCCAAGATCTGGGATTAAGGCTTTTGTTTGTTAGTGGATATCAAAGGCATCCCATCCTGATAACACTCATAGGAAGTTTTATGCCTATCCCCAGCATTTACAATCAGAATTCAAATGCTGCTGTATCATACTGCAGCTGATCCCAATCAGTTTGGTGTACACGAATTAGAAAGGGAAGGGATTTGCCAACTGCATGAAGCTACTGTCTGCTTAATATTCTTTATTAAGAGACATCTTCTGAATGGATGCTTGACTGAAAAATAGAGACCACATGAAGACGCACCTGTTGGCCAAATTGTTAATCCTTTGTCACTTAAATTAACATATTCCAGCACAGATCCTGACATATGGTATTAGAAATGCCAGGTGCACACTTCACTGTTGGCAGTGGATTCATTGGGAAAATGACCATACCATGAGCGCGCTAGTAAATGATTGTGGTTTTCATGAAGTTATTTACAGGTCTTTCCCCACTAATACAAGAAGCCTCACCTTATCAAGCAGTTCCATACCCATCTAACAAACGTAACTTTGTTGTCAATTTTTGGAGTTATAACTTCATACATATAAATACAATTTCACTTCTCCAGCTTTTTTCCTACAGGGAAATGTAGCCAAAAGGCTCAGTGGTTTTACACTCTCTCCACTTTGGGAGGATAAAAGATGTGTACTCTTAGAAATCTGAGTCATGTTAAATAGCAATAAAAACAGACCCAGATTTTAAGTCAGTAAACATCTGCCAAAATAAGAAGGTCCTATGTTGTTAATATTTCATTTTGAGTGTACTGTCCTGTAAAATGTAAACATTACTACAAAATTCACACAAAAATGCCACTGGTCTTATAAAACTGAATCTGGATTTTGCTGCAGCACTGAATGCAGTGGAAGTTTTACAAAGGTCAGAGATTGTTCAGTTGGGATGCCTTCACTGTGTGAGCACATATGAAAAAACAACACTTTAAATGTTATAGTGTACATAAATTTGCCAAGAAACTGCACAGTTTAGTTACTCCACATCTGTCACCCCTCACACACTGACTTTATGTCATTTACAAAGCTGGTAACACACAGGGCAAAGATTCTGCTTTGTGTAAAATGCTCAATACATTAAGGTTCACTTTCCTCAGCCTAATCT